CGTTGAGACTAATCGTATGCTCCCTCCCTCCCTACCGCTGCAGTAGTCCTGGGATCTCGTTCTTTGAGGTTATCCATAAAAGAAGGACAAGACTTAACTTGGAAAATCGCTGCAAAAATACAAATGATTATCAGGTGATCTTGTAAGCATAAGACCTGATAATTTGGTACTCGGTCTAGAATGGTTGCGGGGGTTATAGTGGGGAAAGTGGCGAAAAAGAGAAGTGAAACGGTCAAAAATCTGCAAGAAGCCTTGTTGTACGCGATGAGTGAGCAGTTTTCAGACGAGTTTCTCGTTGGCATCGTGCCAGTAACCGCTAGGTTCTGCTGCATGTACGACTCATATATCCATGCAGCACCGCAGCCGCTTCATATGAATCTCGCTTCATGCTGTACTTCGCAAACGAAACGATACCAGCATCAGCATCGGTCGGGCATTTGTGGGCGTCGGTATGTTGCAGCTTGATAGGGACTTATAAGGGTACATTCCTTGGGGAAGGTGCCACGCCACGCCTGTTCAGAGGCGCCGAATTCTGTCCTGTTAGGTGCATCAATCCTACATGTCTTCGGGTTTTACCAGGCCCCTTGCCTTTAAGCGCGCTAAGCCATGAGAAAACGCTCAGCCCTCTACAGATACTGAAGTCACCGCCAATCTTAGGATCTATGTCATTTCCTTCTCATTTTTCATGGACAAAGACGCAAAAAAATGCGAAACTGTGCAGTGTAAGCGATCGCGCTTTTTTACCTAGGAAAAGCTCACAAATCCTCTTAATTAATCAACTTACTGCCTTTCTTACAGTACGTACGGTCAAGCGGAGAAAATGTTGCCAAAAATTCTGCTCACTCAATATTCATTTCAGATGTAGACTCTGACATAGACGATCTAGAGAGTGGAGGATCGGAGGAGAGCGGTGCTAGTAGTGATGAAGAGGAGGAGGATTGGTGGGATGAAGGAGGACTTGGAGCGGGTGATGACGACGAAAATGAAGATGAAGATGGTTGGTTATCTGAAAATTCGTTATGGACAGACAGCAAATTTGTTATTTTTGTAGATTCCGATGATGATTCGGACATAAACATACCAACAAAGAAAATGAATGGTGGTAGTGATGACAGTGGAACGGATGACGACAATGAGATTGAGGTGAAACTTGGAAAAATTGAAGATAGGCCTGAATATTTTGCTCAAAACCGACCTTTTCAGGATGATGAAAATGAAGGTGATGAAGGTAGTGATGACGAAGAAGATGAAATGGATATAGGATGATTTATTTACGTGGAGGCCGAATCAGTCCTACTGGAGCAGTAAGTGATGGACTGCCTTTGTTGGTGATATGTCCGAGGACACGTTGATTTTTATGATGGAATAGCCTGTGAAGGGTGCCATGGCAGCCGCTTTTCACATATATTTGTCTATTTTTTCCTGCCTTTTTTCCATTGCCTTGTGTTGTTATAAGCTTGTTTGTCCTTCATGAACATAGGGGAGGTTGTTGATGTTTTACCCTATTTAGAAAAAGCTACATATAGTTTAAGTGACATGTTGAATTGTTCCATGGATTTAGTGCAGCATGGGGAGCGTCGTCGCGAGCAAACTAGCTTTCCTGGCTAGTTGACTCGATTTACACTTGGGGGTCAAATCATTCAGATCATGGTAGCATTTGATAAGCTGCTCTCTTACTTCTGAAGTCTGAAGACTTTATTGATGTTGGTTATTGATTTACGATTACTTTAGTCACAGAAATGGGAACTAAATTAGATCAGGGGGATACGTAGCAGGGCGACCGCGTCTGCTCTGCGAGGCAGCAAGGGGTGTATATCATTAATCCCGAGCCACGCCATCTCTCATAGGCCTGGCAGCGTTTTTCCTAGCCAGTTGGCACGACGCAGTTCAGCTCAGCCATATTTTACCGACTGGGTCCTGGTGCGAATGACCCTGCTTTCAGCGCCTCTTTCGAAGTGCTCACCGCTCCGGGACGCCCTGTTCTGGAGCCCCGGAGATTAGGATCGTCTGTTTTCTGCTAAACCGGTGCCCATGTTTGGGGGAAGAGGTATGCATGCACTGCGGCATGACCTCCCCTATACCTTGAACTACTTTAAGTTTCCCATCAGTGGTATGGGCGTGGCTGATCACTACGTTTGAACGAGACGGTGACCGCGTTCTTCGTGAGATATCACCTTCTGGGGCGACTGTCACTCATCTTGTATTGAGGCAAAATGACAACCGAAAAAAACGACAATGTCCCATTTCCGCCTCCTCACTCGAATAAAATGCGTGGCCACGCCCACCCCATCTTCGCGATATGAAGTGTACTTTAGCTGCTAGTATGAAATTAATTCATTCCTTCCTTAAAGCTTGAGGTAGAAGAAAGTAATTTATTTTTTTTCGAGTTTCAAGAGAAAACCGTCAGGCTGTCAGAAAAAACTGATCTGGACTCTATAGTGCTATGTCGGTCAACTAGCTAGGAAAGTACGAATTTGAGCGCGATGCTGCACCTTAGATGTCCTGAATTACAGCCTTGTTCCGTAGTTACTGTTATGCATGTTCAGTTTTCGTGGTTTCCTGAATCCACTTCTTGTCTGTTTAAAATACTTGTTGATTTGAAGAATCCTATAGTTAAATTGTTCCTTTGGTCGCATTGGTGGGATTGTCGTCGGAACTGATTAGCGCAAATTTGCGTCGTCATAGTTTCCAGTCATATCGGCGATTTCAGTTCATAAGACTGTGCGGTGTGGTTCAATTAGTCTTTCTTGCTTTGTGAAATCTTTTTTAGCACAGTTCGGCTACGGGAGGGGTTGTATTTTGCACATGCGCTGCTCCAGAAACGACCTTCCCCCAAATTCTTTCCCTTGTTACGCCTCCCCCCCCCCCCACTTACCCATCGACCACATTCCTAGTTTCCTAGATTTTCCCAGTTCCCTACCACAATTCCCGGTAATTCCCAAAGATTTTCCGTCGAGCAATGAGGGGGGAGTCGTCACCAACCAACTAATACTTTCAACTATTGAGAATAGTAATACTAATTTTGATACACCACCAACTTGAGGGGTATATAGTAATAGTGAAACGGTGAAACGGGAAAATTCAACAGAAAAATTCCTCCCAAGGCGGCAACGTTTTCTCAAGCATGGACACGCACCCTCCCCTCACTCAATGACGATCTTCTCCAGAACTCTCCCGTGTGAAAACGATCAACTATCGAAAAAGTTTTTCTCTAACCAGGTACGACCCCCTCCCCACCCCAGTTGGGGATTTTCCAACGCACGACGTTCCCCTGTGGTTCATTGCCGTACAACCCTTATAGTGCCTCAAGCTGCAACATACCGACCCGGACGCCCACCGCACCCGGCCGCCCACAAATGTCCGACTAATGTCGATGCTCGTATTGCTTCATTTGCGGAGTGCAGTATGGAGCGAAGGGATTAATATGAAGCGGCTGCGGTGCCACATGGATGTATGAGTACATGCAGTAGCCCTACCTTTACAGCAGTAGCCCTACCTTAGTGGTTATTGGCAGGATGCCAACGGGGAACTGCTTCGAAATTGCTCCTGAGTCGTGTAGAACAGAGGTTTTGTTTGATCGCTTCAATTCGCTCGTTCGCCATTTTGTCACTGTATAGCACCCCTACTGCCACTTTAGACCGAGTAAAATTGTTGTGCCTCACGCCTTCCATGACTTCACACATCGATGGGAAGTAGCAAAAGTGCAGAATGCCCCCCCAAGCCCACCTGTGCTCCTTTCTTTGAATTATCACACATTTCTATATAGCTATTGTGTCACTTGCCTTAGTGTATTACAAGTTGTTATCGTTGTTGAACGTTGCAGACATTCTAAAGCTGTTTATAAAAGGTTTTCAACGCACTCATACACACAGAGACAGTTTCAGATAATCGTGTTGCACTAGCAGCGCTGTAACGTTCTTGTTTATGAGAGAGGAGTTTTAGGAATTCGCGAAGTCGAACCGGGTTCTATGAAGTGGTGCTGGTGGTGGTGGTGATTAACTACGAGTTCGACCTTCGATTAACGTTCCGCTATGTGTATGTGTGTGTGTGTGTATGGGCGTTTGTATGTATGTATGTATGTGTGGGCATGTTGTTGAACGCATAATTTGATGGTTCAGTTGCGAGTTGATGAGATTCGGGAGGGGTGTATGTGTGTTGGTGTGTTGATGATGGTGATGTTGGTGGGTTTTTGGGAAGCCGGCGAGTCCGGTGTTCATGAAACGCCGCAGCGGTCCGTCGTCGGCCGTGGTCGACGAACGAAAACAGGCTTCGGGCGAATTGCGATCGGTGTGTGGAAGCGCCGCACGTCGGTCTAATTTTAGTGTGCCCTAGAATCGCATCGATTGACTACTAGCGACCCCCCGGTAACTACCAAGGGAATTCTAGTATTACAATCTCTTTTTCGCGATTCTGCTCTTTTCATTGTCCTCTTCCTTCTTTTCCTGTTCTTTTTTGATTCCTTTGAGCAATCCTTCCAGCCTTTTATTCTTCCAGTAAGCACCCCCACTACCTCCGCCACCACAGCCATACACCTTTTGGGCGTGTGAAACCAGACTAGAGTAGTCTGGTAGCGGCCGGTTTTTCGAATTCGTTCTCTTACAATCAGCCTAACGTGAAATTTCTGCGTCTGCCTGGTGGTGTGGTGTACGGTGAACGTAGAATTCGATACTTCCAACATCATCACCATCCGCCAATTCGGTCCTCTTTCTCGTCTTCCGGGGTGAACCTGCTATTCAAATGACCTATTTTTCACCTCGAATTTGATTTTTCATCAGCCCAATTGCACACATTTATCGATCCAAGGCTTCACACCGGTTACTGTGCTGCACGTTTGAAGAATTCTTTGCTATTCGATCTATTCGTCGACATTCCGACTTCTTGTTTTTTGGCTATTCATCAAACCATTCTCGTCCAGATATTATGTTCAATCGAACTGGGCTCGCTCCAGCGCCAAATGTACCGAATCCTCGGAATGCGGGTCGAAAGAAAAGTAATCCGGTATGTATTGTATTCTCGTGCTCAGTTTCCTACTTCGACGCTTGTCCAGTACAAGTAGGTATTTTGGTAACGGGTCACGTCGAAAAGTGGGGATCCTTAGCGAGAGGGGTCGTATTTGGTAGCTGGAGGGAGAGAAGAAATCGTGTTTGCCTGTGAGAAAGCTGTTTTGTTTGTTGACTTTCTTGGCTTTTCTCAGTTTTTCCCGTTCCACGTGCGAGAAGAGAGGGGTCGTACTAAAGGAAGAAAGTTTGAGGGGGGGGGTGTATTTTGCAAAATCTTCCCCCAACGACAGGACGTGCCTTGTTTGGTACCCATCGTGCACCCGAAGGCATTTAAAAGTTGCGAGAAACATTTGTCGCGGCGAGTTGGTTGAAGGGTATAAGTTTCCTTGGGCAAACCTAGGATCGGGGGTTTTTGTTCAAGATTAGAAGGGAAGGAGCCGGGGACATCATCGAGTTGTGGGAGTTTCTCCGCAAAATACGGCCCTTATCCGAAATTTCTCTCTCATTACAACTCTTCCGCAGATGTTCCTTTCCCCAGGTTTCCCGAAAATAGTGCCGTTTGGGCAGGGGAGAGGGGCGGTGGTGGGTACGAGCGGGCGTGAAGCGGAAAAAAAATCAGCGATTGAGAGGAAGTGGTCCCACAGTGTGAACCACCGCCCCCTAGCGGCCAAATACGATCCTCTTTGTGATTTCCACAACGATGATGAGAAGCAGCTTCAACTGGAGTGGCTCAGTTTCTTAGTACTCATTACTCTGATTCCAGTTTTACCCCGTTGGTCGTTTAAGTGCGCCAGGCCCACCCTGTAGACCTATTTTCCTTTATTTCAAGCGGTAATAAGAAGCTTTTGCTCAGTTCAAGGGAAAACCTCGCGGTGGATGAGACTGTTCATCAACGATCACGATTCGTCAAACATCCTCTTTTCTTCTCGCAATTGTTCCTGAGCTACTTTCAGCATTAAATGCTGTCCTTCCTTGCTTGAAAACATGTGTGCAATGTCGGGAATACTGTAATACGACAAACCATTGCACCAAATGCCCACCTGGCTAGCGCTCGATTTTTAACAATTTTCTTCTTAAAACAGCCTTTGTTAGAATGCTGGGAGTTGCCCCAGCTGCCTATCATACTCCCCGCTTACAAACATTGGAACAATTCGTACTATTGGATTGAGCTGTAGTATGTCATAACTGGTTCTATTGTGCGTCATTCTACCAGTATTCCATCCTCATTGGTCAGCCTTTTATTAGGCTGTTGCGACTTTTATCGCTCACAGACTTGTTAGGCTGTTTTTTCTTCTTTACTCTCAGCTACTCGCTAGGCTGGGCGGAGGGGGGGGAGGGAATTTTGTGAATTCCTGTAAACGTGACAGGCCATTTTGTTAATACATGTGAACTCCTGTGAAGCAGCGAGAGTGTATCGATTTCTTTTTGTAAACTGTATAAAATACCGTATACCGGGTCGACTGAGCCCTCAAAGCACTGAATCACTAACATTTTCTTTTATTGTGAATGTTAAGGGAAAGTTATACTTGCCTATTAGGGAATAGGATAGCGTATTACACAAAGGAACTGGTTTACCGACCCGGAGCTCTTTCTCCTGCCTCCAGGCTTGAGCGGGAACCCTTATCCTCCTGGCTCACAATCGTTTCTTTGCACCTTCTAGCGCTAAATGCCTTCCAACCTGAAAATGGAGAAAGGGCATCCACTGGTATCATTTCATAGTCTCACAGGAGTTTTCACGTCTTCCCAGAACTGCAC